GAAAGGCAGGCAGAACAGAGATGGATTTAGTGCTTTTCAAGGTAACAGTGGATGCTTCTTGGAAAAGAGATAAGCTTTGACTAAACCAAGAAATATTTTGTTCTAGACATGCAGATCCATATGATTGACACGCAACACTGAACCAAACCTTATTTTCAGAGAGAAGACTGTGGTTGCTGCGCTCCTCCCCAGTGCTGCTGTGCTCCCTAGCACTAAGCCATGCTCTGGCTTAGCATTGCAGGTGAACCTAGGTTTGTCACTTCAGACAAACCATTAGTTGTTGCCAAGGTTTGTTCTTGGTTTTCCACTTGTCGCTTGTCTGGAGCAAGACTAACTACAAGGCCATGTTCAACCAGGCCAGGTAACTTGCTCATTTACACTAAGCCAAGCAAACTGGGCCATTTTGATCTATCGAGATGAGTGCAGGACAGCAGAGGCTAAATTAATCTGTTTTGTTCTCTGCCTTGGTTTGACGTAACAGGGGGATCATTGAGACAATTGGCAAGCAGTTCACAAGTGGTATAGGGCCATTGTGTCAGTATAAGTAGGAATCGGCCAGCCTTCACATTTTGCTTACTTTTCAACCATCGACTCACTTTGCTATGGGGTGCTCAACGGTGTCCAAAGCCTCTTGAACCTTCTTCCCCAAAAACAAAAGAATGTGGAAAACTGGTCCCCTTGGAGACCTATTCATTTTTAGGAGCCAGATGGAGTAAAGGTATTTAACTTGTAGAAGTAGCAATAACTTTAAATGCCTTATGTTTTCAAAGAGCTGGGACTACCTGCTGTTTTACCTGCTGAGATGCTGAATTTTCAAACCCATACTGTATCAACTTCAGTCACTGGTATTGGGAAAGGCTTTAGAGCAGCAGATCATTCCCTCCTGCAGAGGTTGCTACCGCAGCACCTGTGAGGGCTCATGTATCCACAGAGACCTTCACTAGTTCTCCTACTGGAATTGGAACCTGAGAGGTATTCTATGGTAGCCAGTGGAATAGGTGGCTGTGTGCAGTGCCCACAACAATTTTTCTGGTTTGCAATTGTGCCAAAAAGGTTGGTGACTCTTGCTAACTCATTCCTGCAGATTTCAGTTCCTATGCTTTGACACTTTAGTGCACAAACTGGTGTCATATAATAGAGGTTAAAATAGGATGCATTTGACCACTTCCTGCCACTCAGTACTAGATCATCTTACTTCAGATCTCTCACCATGGCAGCACCTCTTGACCCAAGCTGTTGGATTGCTGCTTGTCACCTTCCACAAATACGCTTGCAAGGATGGTGATAAGAGCAGCCCATGTAAGGAGGAGTTGAAGAAGTTAATCCAGAACGAGCTGACCATTGGGCCGAAACTGCAGGCTGGAGAGATACAGGCATTAATGAAAGATCTGGACCGCAATGGGGAGCAAGTGGTGAACTTCCAGGAATATGTCACTTTCCTGGGTGCCTCGGCAATGATTTACAACGAAGCTTTGACTTTGTAAATGTATGCCCTGGTGGCGCAAGGTGTTGTGGTTCAGGATTATACCTCTGTAGACGGTTTCATGTCCAATAAAATTTTAAGTGTTGTAAAAAAAATTAAAATTAGGGTGCATTTCTTCAGCTTTTCTTCCTTACTAATTGTGTGATGATTCTTAAAACAGTTTTAAAATGAGGTTGAGTAAAGAAATTTTGTAACTCTGAATGAGTTTTTTAAAAACCACTCTAAAGAACACTATTGCTTGTTCGGGGCGGGGGGGGGGGTGGCCTGCAAAGAGATTGGTAAAGTTGGGTCCTGGAATTGGGACATGACTGTCTAGGTTCCTATGGAAAACTGTAGTGCAGGCAACCCCAGTGGAAAGCTGGTCTTGAAGTCGGCACTGCTCAGTGTGGAGATTGACTGCACTGCAGAGTTCCTGTTGCAGAATTCTGTAATGCAGACAACCTGCTGAAATGAGGGCTTGAAGCCAGGGCCAGCCAGAAGACCAGTTGAACTTCAACTCCTGCTTCAGTTCACTGGGAAGTTCCTCTGCAGCACAGTTTGACCTCAAAGGGGAAAAGGGTTGCCTGACATGGTGACATCAGATGACTGTGAGCAGCGCCACCTACTAGTCAAATTGACTCACTGCAGTCCAGGATCCAGCCTGAATTCCCAACACCTGTTCTAAGATAATGTAGGGATTTCAAGGTAGGCCTGGTCCTTGGTGTTGTTATTTTGATTTAACTGCAGCATATTCTTAGAACTTGGTTCTCTATCCAATCCAAATTGGTGTCTTTATTAATTTAGCTGGTCCCTTGGCGTGGAACCTAGTTACGTTGTGTATTTATAGAAAACATAAGTCTTCTTTTCTGCATAAAATGCATTATTAATAAATAAACGTATGTGTTAATGCACTGTTTCCAAACAGAAAGTTTTAATAGCAGCCAATTAACCGGCTAAGTAGCAGGAAAACAATGTTGGTCTTTAATCATGAACTGCTTGCTTGTTCCTACTCCCCTACCCCTTACCTCTTAAATTCTTTAAATATTTTATTCTGTTGGCATCACTTCCAAATAGCTGATGAGATTAAAACATTAATCTGGTTTTAAGAGCCACATGTTGAAAAGGGAAAAGGAATCCCCAGGTACCGGTATTTTGGGTGTTTGCTACTTTTTCTTCCCATCATTCACCAAATAAGCAGTCTGTAGCTACCCTTCCTGCTTCTCTCCCAAAGTCTAGTTAGGGCTTGCCCAGCTTCGGGAAGGAGGGCTCTAAGACCCTGCCAGAGCCTTGTGCCTCCTTCCTAAAGCCTGTGCCTCCCTAGCCGGTTTGGGAAGGTAGCTTTGAGCTGTGTGTGTGTGTGTGTGTGTGTGAACTTCTGGCCTCGCACGCAAAGGGTGCTATATTACCAAGGTCTGCCCCTCCTGCAACTGGGTATGGCTTTCGTTTTCTTTATTTTCTTTTATTCCATTTCAGTTCTTTCATCTTAGACCTGCAGAAACCAACATGCCCTCTGGGTCCATTAAGGGTGGGGAGCTGAACATTCATTTATTAAGTGCCTCCTGTCACAATGTGTTCGTTGCACCCCAGGGGAAAGACTTATTCAGGGAGGCCACCTATAGAAATGGGGCAAGACCATCTGTACTCACAAGTACTCAGTGTACAAGGTCCTCCGCTTCTTTTGAACTACGACTCCCATCTGCACTGTACATTTAAAGCACTACTTTAGCCATGGATTTTCCCCAAGGAATCCTGGGAACTGTAGTTTGTTAAGGATATTGGGAGTTGTTAGGTAAGACCCCTCGTCTCCTCACAGAGCTACAGTTCCCAGAGTGGTTTAACAATCCATCCTTCCTCTAGAGGACTCTGGGAACTGTAGCACTGTAACAAACTACTGTTCCCAGGATACTTTGGAGGAAACCATGCTTGTTTAAAGTGGTGCAAAGGGGGCCTTTGGCAGGTTTTTAAATAAATAAAATATTTGCCAGGCACAAGCATGTATCTTAAAGAGGATTATAAACTTTGTGCCAGGTAACTACCACTCCCAGATTAACTGAGTGGCTTCCATACAAAAGGCTGTAGCTGTCCTGGCAGGCCTGCATTACAATGCTCAGGGTGGTGGTGGTTGTTTTTTAAAGCACAGTATAGTTGGCAGTTGAATCTCCACCACCCATTTTCCTGAGAGTTGTATTAGGTTTGCTTGCATTAGCTGAACGTTGAAAGATTCAGGGCACACAACAGAAAGTGCTTTTTCACGCAGTAAATAAACTTTGGAATTTGTTCCCATAGGAGGCAAAAATGACCACCAAAAGGATTAGACATAGAGGACACAGCTATTGATGGCTACTAGTTAACGATGGCTAACATCTCTGCATGCCACATACCGGAATCACAAATGCAGGGTGTGCTGTGTTTTATAAAAAATAACAGTATTCTCCTCCTGTGAGTTGTAACATTATTACAAGGTAACATTATTAGTAAAGGTTCTCTACAGGCCAGATATTTGCATAGACAGATGACACAGAGTGCCTCAGGCTTGTATAAGAAATAATACTATGCCATTTATGGGGGGGAAATGGTCATTTGAGCTCTGCCCCTCCCAGGTTCTATATCCCCAGCTCAACATGACCTGCATTTGATATCCTTATGCTAGGCATTACTTGAGTCTGACCAGTGGCTCATCCAAGTCCCATCTCTTACACACACACACACACCCCAAATGAATTGATGCTGCAATGGCCTCAAGTGTGAGAATGCAAAGATCTGTTTTCCAACGATGGACCAGTAAACACCTGCAATCTCCACCACCCCCAAATCTCTGGAGGAAGCATTTCTGAATCTGCAGATAACAGGTCAAGACTGCGCAAGATGCAGTGGCGTAGCGTGGGTTGTCAGCACCCGGGGCAAGGCAAGTAATTTGCGCCCCCTAACCCATGGATTTGCACCCCCTAACCTGTGGATTTGCGCCCCCTAACCTGTGGATTTGCCCTAACCCCAGGTGTTGCGGCCGGTGCGGCCGCCCCCCCCCTGCACCCCCCACGCTACGCCACTGGCAAGATGGCACTTGAGGAGTAACCATGGGCTGGCAAGAGTAGTAGGACTGGACCCTGGATGAGGGGCAAATTGTCCAGGCACTTGTAGGGTTCCAAAAAGAAAGATCTGAGGTGGAAAGAAGACAAAATCCCTACTGGAGAGGAATGGCAAACCAAGCCCTTGGGAGTACACCGAAATGGCAAAAGTGACCGGAAAGCTCAGGAACCAAGAAGACAAAGACTCCAATAAAGAAAAAATTATAATTAATTTAGGAGACCTCTGTAAGCAGATGAAAACATTAGCAGGATTTTCATAACATTTGTAGCAATTATCATGGACAATACGGAGAGATATAAAACATGGATTATGAAACAATATGCAGTTGAAAAGGTTGACAAAAAGACCCGTGGAGGGGAGGGTGGGAAGTCTGGAGATCCAGATAAATCTCTAAATATGGATATGTATTTTGTATTGTTATAATTCTACACTTGTAACATCAAATAAAAATTATTTCAAAAAGCAAAGCAGAAAGAAAGATCCAAGCCCTCACAGAAGGGAGCTGTCTGCAGGACAATTAGTATTCCTATATACATCTAAAATTCCCTGGCAGGCTTGCTTTGTGCTGGATCCAAAGCTGGGACTAATGGACAAACAAAATCTGTTGGGCGTTAATGCAGTGAGCCCTACTATCTTATCTGCAGGTTGTTCGTATGTGTAAATAAAACCATATTTCCTAAAGGCACTCCAGTCTCTGTTGACTAAACTCTGGATAAGCACCTGGAAACCCTAGAATCTCTCACCGCTCAGAGAATGGGGTGGCGAATGCAATTTTTCAGCTTTAACTCTCTAATGCTGGCAGAAGTAGATGTATGCAGGAATTTCAGATTTTAATCCATTGGTCTTCTCTCTCTCTTTTTATTATCTCCCAGTCATTTCCCCGCATGTGTTTTAAACCTCCTGCCAGTCCTGTGCCCTACTTTTTAGAAACGGTACCTTTTATTGTGCTTTCTGTTTCAAGGATCGTTGCTTCAAGCTACGGTCTTACGAAAATGTGTGCTTGGGCCCCAGGGCACCCACCCAACATTTTTCTCTTCCAGCTGAGTTTGCCACAAATTGGGGTTGTTTTCCATTCCAAAAACCCTTTAGTCTATAAGGATTTCTGCTGTATTTATGAACTAGGCTGCATAGATTGCCATGCCTAATACATTCAGTACGCTGTGATTTCCTGCAGAGTCTCCTTTCAGCCCAAAACTTCCAGTGCGTGTTTGTTTACCCAGAGATTTCTGCCGTGAGTCATAATTACGAAACGTAGCATCAACTCCCTTAACAAATCCCTGAACAAAAGCTGGTCTCCGTAGCAGTAAGTATAAATAGGCAGGGACCAGCAAGGGCAAACAGTGCCAGCTCAAGTTTAAGTGCAGAGAAAATAGACGGATAGCAAGAGGAGAGGGTCTGCATCCAAGCCGGTGATGTCTGGGGCCCATTTCCACAGCGTCCTGGTCACAGGAGCCAATCGGGGTATCGGGCTGGAAATGGTGAAGCAGCTCCTGGGACTACGAGAACCACCAAAATGGGTCTTCGCCACATGCAGGGATCCACATGGAGGAAAAAGCCAGGTGAGACCGTAGGGATGGGGAAGAGGTTAGTTTCAGTTAAATGCAAACGTATCTGCTTTGCACTTTCCAGAGTTATCCGTGAGCTGAGATGCAGCCACCTTTTTGGAATTCCCACTTAATGAGCATCCCCAGCCACGTGCTATAGCAAAGCGTGCATATAATTGCGTAGAGCAGCGAGAAACAACAAACCAAAACACATTATAATAGGGGAAATCGCTTTGCAGAAATTGTGCATGTTAGAATAAATCCCCACTGAAATTATGATGCATTCTCATGAGGACTTTTAAAACAGAAAAATAGCAAGCTGGAAATATGGGGCTCTGCTATACAGCTGCAATTAAAAGGTTTGTAAATGTGTGGTAAAGTGAAATATACAATTGTGGTGAGCTATAGCAAATTCAATGCGTTTGTAAAAAATTTTTTTTAAAAAGCATATTCATGACATTTTTAACGTGTGCAGAGAACTAAAGATTGGGAAAATGAGCAACTGAAATGGACAGATTCACTCATCCCCAACTTCAGAGCTGACCATCCTTTTAGGAAGTGACAGTTTTTCACATCCGATTCCAGGCTGAGAGAGAGAGAAGAGGAGATATGCAAGAAAGTTAGTCTGCTCCGTTCAGAAGTTTCATGGAGCAGTGGCTAAGGGAGAGGGGGTGTTCTTTGTAGCAGCCCCTGAGGTGTGACATCTCTTCTCCACAGAAATGCATCTAGCACCTTCAGCTCTCATCGTGTGCCGAAGGTGTGCACCTCTTGACCCTGGCTATTGACCCCTGAGATGTGTGTTTTTAGGACCCACCCTATTCTCTTTGTTGTAAATTGTTTTTACCTCATTTTAAAATTATTATTATCTTTAAGATTCCTCCTAAAGAAGCCCAGGGCAACAAGCACGAAGCTATAATACAATAAAAAAAACCCCACATTTAAAACATCTTAAAAACCATTCAAATACAGGTGCAGGCTGGGAAAGATCTCAGCTTAAAAGGCTTGTTTGACAGATTGTGTTTTTATAAAATAAGATTGTGTTTTTCCATTGCTGCAACCTGCCTTGGAACCATATGGAGACAGGTGGGTAAGAAATTATGATGATGTTGATAATTAGCAAGTGTTTACCATCTTTTCTGGCTAAAACTGCCCAGCATTAGTAACAAAGGGAACGCTCTCCCTTACACCCTGCATGAGAGGCAGGGAAGGGAAGATCTTCCAGGGAGGCAGGCTGGGAGAAGGGAAGCTCCCAGGTGAGAGCTGGGAGGGTCCACCACCTTTTGTGTGGTACAAGATGCATCTCTGATAGAGGCCTTTGTGTCTCCACCCTTCCTTTTGTGTGTTTGTCTTGTTTTGTTTTCTCCTTTCTTTTCTGTTTTCATTTAGATTAGTTTGGCTTTTACTGTATTGTATCATACATTGAAAAGCTTTGGGTTTTTTGTTTTTAAGAGAAAGCTCTCTATTATTTTATCCTTTCTGTTCCGAATGCTCCATCTGAGAGAGAACCCACATTTTCTGGTTTCCATCACTGGTCACCCTGTTCCTCTTTCTTTTGCTCCTATATTCGCCTTGTTGGGGTTGGCAGGGGTAGGGGACGGAATAATGCCTTCTCAACATTTTGTTTAGTGCGAGTTTCCATAGTTCTCATTTAGGGTACAATTCATTCCCCCGGGGGGGGGGGGGAGAAGAGAAGAGAGAGAGAGAGAGAGAGAGAGAGAGAGAGAGAGAGAGAATGTACTCTACTATGCTGCCTGTGTGGTATTGTGGTTAGAGTGCTGGAGTAGGACCTGGGAGACCAGGGTTCAAATCCCCATTTGGCCATGAAGCTCACTGGGTGCCCTTGAGCCAGCCACTGCCTCTCCGCCTAACTGACCTCACACAGTTGTTGTGGGAATTAAATAAGGGGGAGAACAATGTACGTCACCTCAAGCTCCTTAAAGGAAAAAGATGGGCTATAAATGCAATTAATAATAACAGCCATGTATGTCCGTTCACAGGTTACACCAGAAGTCCGTGAGGTCCTTGGGGGCCTGGCACTTATTCAGTATCTGCAGAGTTGTATGTCTGCTGTGATTCTGCAGCAGCAGAAAAAACTAGCTTATTGAGATTCTCACCTTTCTGACTCCTGTGGCTTCGAAAAAACTGTGAAGCCAGTCAATGTCTGCTAAAATCTCAGAAGCCAGAGGCTGAGTAACAGTGAGCAGTCTAGAGTGCCCCATATAACTCAAACAAAAGCAAAACAATTTGTGCAAAATAAGTGAAATTATGCAAACATGCTCGAGCCTCAGACTTTTCTGGGTCCAGCATTTGACATTTTTACAGCAGCACTGAGGAAGCCTTGAGGGTTTGTTTCGCACATGACCCCCTTTTTCTCCTTTTAGGAACTGAGATCGCTGGCTTCTAAACATCCCTGCCTCGTGATTCTGCAGCTGGGTATGACTTTCATCTTATTTATTTTCTTCTATTCCATTTCAGTTCTTTAATCTTAGAACTGCAGAAACCAACATGCCCTGTGGCTCCATTTAGGGTGGATAGCTGAACATTCATTTATTAAGTGCCTCCTGTCACAATGTGTTAGTTATGCTCCAGGCAGAATCCTCACATCTCTTTGCTCTGTTCATTTTGAAGGGGAAAGGCTTATTCAGGGTGGCCTCCTGCAGAGGTGGGGCAAGGTCATTTCTACTCACTCAGGTACTCAAGGTAGATCAGTCTCCCTCAACCTGGAATCCTCCACTTGTTTTGGACTACAACTCCCATCTGCACGGTACATTTAAAGCACTACTTTAGCCATGGAGCCATGTGTTCGTTGCGCCCCAGGGGAAAGACTTATTCAGGGAGGCCACCTATAGAAATGGGGCAAGGCCATCTGTACTCACAAGTACTCAATGTACAAGATCCTTCACTTCTTTTGGACTTCGACTCCCATCTGTACTGTACATTTAAAGCACTACTTTAGCCATGGATTTCCCCCAAGGAATCCTGGGAACCGTAGTTTGTTAAGGGTATTGGGAGTTGCTAGGCAAGACCCCTCGTCTCCTCACAGAGCTACAGTTCCCAGTGTGGTTTAACAATCCATCCTTCCTCTAGAGCAGTGTTCCCCAACCTTGGGCCTCCAGCTGTTTTTGGACTACAACTCCCACCATCCCTCGCTAGCAAGACCAGTGGTCAAGGATGATGGGAATTGTAGTCCAAAAACAGCTGGAGGCCCAAGGTTGGGGAACACTGCTCTAGGACTCTGGGCACTGTAGCACTGTAACAAACTACTGTTCCCAGGATACTTTGGGGGAAGTCATGCTTGTTTAAAGTGGTGCAAAGGGGACCTTTCGCAGGTTTTTAAATAAATGGGTAGGATTATTTGGCGGGCCCAGGCATGTATATTGAAGAGGATTATAAAGTTTGTGCCAGTTAACTATCACTCCCAGATTAACTGAGTGGCTTCCATACAAAAGGCTGTAGCTGTTCTGGCAGGCCTGCATTACAATACATCTTCCTGAGAGTTGTATTAGGTTTGTTTGCATTAGGTGAATTTTGAAAGATTCGGGGCACACAGCAGAAAGTGCTTTTTCATGCAGTGCATAAACAGGAGGCAAAGATGGCTACCAAGAGGATTAGACAAATTCATGGAGGAATCGGGTATCAATGGCTACTAGTCACAATGGGTAATGCCTCTGCATGCTAGTTGCTGGAATCGCAGGTGGGGGGGGGAGTGGTGCTGCGTTTTATAAAAATAACAGTATTCTCCTCCTGTGAGTTCCAACATTTTTGAGAATAAAGATTCATTTGCACAGACTGGTGGCACTGATTGTGTAAAAAAAATGATACTATGCCATATATGAGAGAAATGTAATTGGAGATCTGCCCTTTAGTTTCTGATGTAGCTTTTCAAGAAAGGTAATTTGCCAAACCCTTGAATACCAACAATTCAGATTATTAAAACTGAAGTTATTCCAGGATCTGGCAATACAAGCCCCAGGCTTCACTGAAGAGATGAGAAACAGGTTGTTTTCTTTTCAAAAACCTTCTTTTTAAAAGCTTTTAAAAAAGTCGGAATCCGTGCTGGATTTGAAATAGCTTTTCCGCATGGAATTGTTTTTAGTTGTTTATATATATGGAATTCCTTACATATGGAAATGGTTTTATTTCTATTGTCATTGCTTTTATTGTTCATGTTTTTACTATGAAATCACTTTGAGGTTTGTGGCTGTGGTTCCCAGACTCTCCCCACGCCACAAGACTATTTGAAAATCACTGAAGGTGATTGAAAATCACAGACCACTTAACGATATTTCTGCCTCTTGTCCCAATCTTAATGTGCTGGGCTGGATGCACAACTTTTAACTGAATTTTAATTGCTTCTTTTATTTCTTGTATATTGTGTTGTTGTTTTTATTGTGTTACAATCTGGAACAAGATGATGGAGGAAATAGTGGAGATGGACTGGTGTAGATAAATGGCAAGAGGGGCACCTGCCTGATATGCCATGGCACATATATAATAACAACACAAAGAGCCTGCTGCTAGATGAAGCAAGTGGCCCATCTAGGCCAGCATCCTGTTCTCACAGTGGTCAACCAGATGCCTGTGGGAAACCACAAACAGGACCCAAGCACAAGATCCCTCTCTCCCAGTGGTGAAGGAAAGGGGGTATGGGAGTGTGGCCGGGCCCGGGTGTCATCACTGGGTGTGGATGTGTGACACAATGAGTTTTTTTTAAAAATGGGCTCACGAAACTTTTTAGGAGTGATGTGGTGGCTTAGGTGCCTGCAGGTTCTGCGCTACCTGAAATGGCAGCATGGGACTTGCACCTGCCTACTGCCTCTCCCTCAGTCGCCCTACAGCTGAGGGGGAGATGATGGCTCTCTCCTCCTACGGTTACCATCATGCCTAGTAGCCATTGATAGCTTTTTCACCTTTGTTCACCTTTGACTTTTCCTCTCTCCAAGGGCCCCCTAATGCCTTTCTCTCCTGTGTTGCTGTTTCCCAGGTTCTATATCCCTGGATTAACATGACCTGTATTTGATACCATCATGCTGGACATTACTTGAATCTGATCATGGGCTCATCCAACCCAGTATCATCTATTATTATTATTGTTATTATTACCCTGCCCATCTAGATGGGTGGCCCCAGCGCAGCTTCCAACACATATAAAAACATAATAAAACGTCAAACATTTAAAACTTCCCAATACAGGGCTGCCTTCAGATGTCTTCTAAAAAGTCATATAGTTACTTATCTCCTTGACATCCGATGGGAGGGTGTTCCACAGGGAGGGTGCCTCTACTGAGAAGGCCCTCTGCCTGGTTCCCTGTAGCTTCACTTCTCATAGGGAGTGAACTGCTAGAAGGCCCTTGGAGCTGGATCTCAGTGTCCAGGCTGAACGACAGGAGAGGAGATGCTCCAGGTATACAAGGGATTGTCTGCGGTTGACGGGCAGAGGCTTTTGCCTTGAGCAGAGACCTCTTTCTCAGTCTTGATGGGGACACGGCTGAGGAGGATGAGGGAAAGAACAAATGTGACCAAACCCATGGAGAACAGCTGTAGCTCTTTGCCATGCAGATGGTCCCAGGTTCAGTTCCCCGGGCCCAGCTCTTCCAGGTTGTCCTGGGAAAGTCTCTTCTCTGAAGCCCTGGAAAGCTATAAAGGAGAGGAAGGTGTTTCCATGACAAATCCTGTGCCCTCTTTCCACAGAGTCCACAGATGAGGCTAGCATCAAGGCTGCTGCGAAGGAAGTTGAGGTCCACCTGGCCGGAAGTGGACTAAATCTGCTGATCAACAACGCGGGTGTCATGCCCCCGAGCACCCTGGAGTCAGTGGACAAAGAAGATATGCTGAGTGTCTACCGTATCAATCTCATTGGCCCAATGCTGGTGACACAGGTAGAGCTTATCCTCATACTTTGCTAGAGGTGGCATCCATTCTTCTGGGCAAAGAAGGGAGCAGCAGGTGAAAGGAGATGTTAAAAGGGTCCCTCAACTTTAACAGAAAGCTCTCCCTGCTTATTTCCTTACATTGAATTTCCTGAGACAGGGGCTTGTCTTCCTAATACCCTGCCACACTCATAACGTATTGACCAAGAAAGAGAGGGGGACAAAATATGCAGGAGGGGTCCAGCCAAGGAGAAGTTGGGAACCAAGGATGGAGGGCCTGGGAAGGGGACAAAGGGACTGCCCATGTCTGTCTTCCTTTGCAGGCATTTCTGCCCATGCTGAAGACGGCTGCTAAGAGGAGCAACAGGAAGGGGCTGAACTGCAGCAGGGCCGCCATCATCAACGTCTCCACCATCGGCAGCTCAATCGGGAGACCCCCTTCTATGGCCACGTTCCCCGTCATTTCTTACCGCTGCAGCAAGGTAACGTGGGCAGCACAGCCTCTCCTACCTACCTGCATTTTGGCCAATCTGTGCAAGTGGGGCAGGGTCAGCAACAGGGAGTGGGGCCGGGGACAGTTGCCGCTGACATCACTGTGGCCTCCTGGGAGGGGTGAATTTATAGTGCATAATCCAGCACTGACCGCAGCCCTTGTTGCACATAGTTAGGAATTGGCTCCCACAAGGTGTAGTGTGATGGTCACCAAGCAGGAAGGCTTCAAAAGGGGATTGGACGAATGGGTGGAGGAGGGCGGAGCTACCCACAGCTGCTAGCCACATTGGCTATGTATTGTCTCCAGTGATGAAGGCAGCATGCCTCTATTAGCAGCTGACAATCCCAAGGGAGAGAACTGTTGCTCACAGTCCAGCTTCTGGGTTCCATGTTGGAGCATCTGGTTGGCCACTGTGGCAAAGAGGATGCTGGACCAGATGGGCCACCGGCCTGATCCAGCTGCGTGACTCACTAGTTTACCCTGTAACCTCCACGCTGCTGCTGCTTCTGTCTTTCTTCAGACGGCGCTGAACATGCTCACGCGGTGCCAGTCACTGGAGTACAAGGATGACGGGATCCTTTGCGTTGCACTTCACCCAGGATGGGTGAAGACGGAAATGGGAACAGAGAAGGTACGTAGTGGCAAAATCGCAGTTGGTCATTAGCTCAGGATGTGGTAAAAGAGCGGAGGAGGAGCAAGAAGCACAGCTTGCAAACTAGAGCAATGGTTCCCAATCGATTTCGGACCACTGCCCTGTTTGTTCCATAAACTCATCCCCAGGGGCCCCTACCCTACCAAAAGCCAGAATAGTGATTTGCATGACCCACCAAAGAAGATAGTAACACAATAAAACTCAAAGCAGTAATAACTAAGTGCACATTCATACTGGCTTTTCAGAATCTCATAATTCACACCCCCAGTACTCCCCCTGCCTCTCCTAGGTCAGTGGTTTTCAACCAGTGTGCCGTGGCACCCTGGGGTGCCATGGTCAGGGGTGCTGTGGGCAATACTGGCCTCTTGTCTTTCTTTCCTTCCCTCCCTCCTCTGATGCCCTCTCACGTCTCTGCCTCCCCAAGGCTTGCATGGTTTGTTGCAGCAGCCCTGGCTACAAGTTCTGCAGGCATATGGTGCCTCTGGGGCTGGCCAGGGGGTGCTGGTTGCCAGGAGCTGGGGGAGCCTTGCAGTAAGCAAGCAAGCAACCAGGTGAAGGAGCCCAACCAGCCAGTCCGCCAGCCCTTGCTGCTGGCAATGAACAGACAAGGGGGAAAGGCACTGGCCTTTCTTGTGCTTGCTGTGTGCCATGCCTGCCTGGGAGCTGAGTGCCCAGTGCTGAAGGGAGCCTTTCTGTCAAGCAGGCCTGGCAGCACCTGCTGCCGCCCCCCAAAGTAAGGTGCTAGCCCCATGTTCACCTCTGGCCAGTCTTGGTTGGGCCACTAAGGCTAGGGGCATCCTCTTCCCAGGCCCGTGGGGCAGTGTGAGGAGGCACCTCTCTTTGGGGCAGTGGGGGGAGTTCAGAGACCAGGGGTGGCAGCAGTGGCTGCTGAGAGGACTCTCAAGGGGAGGAGGCTGAGGAAACACTCCACAAAGGAGGGTGTCTGAAAAGGGTGAGAGGCTGCCAGCTCTGCGGGCAAGGGGTGGCATAACTGGACTCCTGAGCCCTACAGGGGTGTCACAGAAAGAATGTAGTTGGTCAAGGGAGCTGTGGACTCAAAAAGGTTGAAAACCTCTGCCCTAGGTAATCCCGCCACCCCCCAGAGGGCAATACTGCCCACTTAGGGAACTACTGAACTAGAGGGAATTAGAACCAGGGGTTGGGCAGCATAGCTTGAACCAATACCCAGAATCTGGCCATTTTCACCCAAGTTGCCAGGAAGGAGGTGGCTGGGGTCTTTTCCCTGCAGAAAAGTCTCCATTCTTGGGACTTTCTCACATTTCCTCCACTTGGCCCTGCTCAGAAGTGAAACTTATCCAGCCCTGTGGAAGGTTGGTTCCTGGCAATCTGAAGCCTTTAGCAGCCATGGACCCCACCCAGGTCTTCTTGTGATAATTTTTAATTAGTAAACTGTTTTCCCATAACTATGTTCAAAGCAGCAAAGAAACTGCAAGCAGGGCATCCATAAAATAGAAGCTTCTGCAGCTCAAGGTGTCTGGAAACACCTTTCCCAAGTGGCCCAAGTCTGGTGTCCTCGTGGCGGGTTTTGGTTTGGATTTTCAATGCAAAAACATGTTTGCACAATGCAGGCGGAACTGACGGTGCAAGAGAGTGTGCAGGGGATCATCCAAGTGCTTTCCAGCATCAACGAAGAGAAAAATAGCCGACTGGTGGATTGGGAGGGGAGGATTGTGCCCTGGTGAAGCCAGCAGCCAAAGAGGGATCTCTCCCGATGGATGTGTCCGTGTGTCCTAACCCAGGTCAGCTACAAGTGATGTGGTTGCATCTAGCTGCCATGACAGCACTTACAAGAAATAAATCGCATGGCTTTCATAACCTGTCCTGGTCTTCCATCATTTCTTGCTAGCCATAAAAATGCACCAGAGAAACAACAGAGACCAAAACACACTGAATGGCTGTCAGGGCTGGAGTCAGGCATAGGTTAGCAACAAAACTACAAATCATCCGAAGCCAGTGAACTCTTTATTCAAGGAAACAAACCACATCTCAGGCCTAGTAGTCTCAGAATCTGAAGAAGTGTGCATGCACACAAAAGCTCATACCAAGAACATACTTAGTTGGTCTCTAAGGTGCTACTAGACATTTTTTTAAATTTTTTTATATATTTCTACTGTGTCAGACCAACACGGCTACCTACCTGAATCTAGTGGTCTCAGCAACTCTTTCCAGGTCTTGCCCCAAGGAAGCAGTTGTGAGGACTGATGGTCCCCATCTTCACCCCGCTCCCTAAGGCTCTTCCCTGGTTCCTTCCCCAGTAGCTTAAGGCTTCCTTCCTTCTTGTCTGTTATTTCTGTGTGATGATTCTGGGCACTGGACACAGCAGGAGGGGAAGACCTGTGGTATTCTTCTGGTGGGAAATGTTCTGGGTGCAGGAAAGGATATATTGACTAAATTATATACCTGATCCAACTTGTGCTAACAGTTCCCAAAAATATCAGCAGAGTTTTAATACATTCCCCTTTTGTACGCACGGTAACGTGTGGCACCGGTTCGCCTAGAACCCTATATAATAATACCCTGGTAATTCCCCTTTAGTTCCCTCTTAATAATACAAGGACACGACACAGTCCTTCCATAAAAGTATAAAAGAGTTTAATCCACGTTCTGTTCACAATGTGATCCCAGAAGGCACAGCTTTAAAAAAGGTTACATAGATTTAGGATCTATCTCATAGCAAGATAGGCCTTATCTCCCTCGCTGGAGCCAAAGGGCATCTTAGTGTTCCTTCGAGAAAGGCAGAGAAATTGCCTGCCCTGTCTTTTTCTCACCTCAAGGTGAGCACACCCTCTAGTCATAGGAAGTCTCCCGGAAGTTACTGTTGCTGACAGACACCCACATGTCAACATGTACACCTAGGAGTTGTCATTGACTCCTGTGTTTACTCCCATCTTCCACAGCCTGCCCACACTCAGTCTCGGAGTCTGCACTGCTCTCTGCCACAGCCTCTTCCTGCTCACTAAACCCTGTTGCCTCGTATGCTCCCAACACCACCTCCTCCCAGTCTGCTCCTTCCCCCATTGACCCCACTCATCATTCTCCCACCACCAGTCCCTGGGCTCTGAGCCTTCTTTCCCTGGGGACTCCCTGCCTGGTGCCTCCCACCACTCCTCTGCATCCAGCCAGTCCATGACAATAAGCAAGAGAGTAGGGATAGGAAAAAGGGGTGGCTGTGGGCTATATCTCAAAAGTCCCAGGTTCAGTCCCTCCCATCTGAAATCATGGAGAGCCACTGTCACTGATGTGATACTGAGCTAGATGGCTCAATGGCCAGGAACACTATAAATACAGTTTTTTAAGTTCCTATGATTCCAGTCCCTTGCAATTAGAATACTTGCAATTGCTTGCTATGCCCAGAAACTAGTGGGAGTCTTCTTTCAATGGGAACCACTACAGAATATTGAGGCACAGACAGCACAAATCTTCATAGGAACTGGGTGCCTCATCTTTGGAAGTACTAGCCAAGAGATGCAGAACCCTGTAAAAGAAGTATTAGCTTCTGCTGAATCAGCAACTTCCCAGATGCCCACTGAGAACGACTATAAACAGGTTTGCCAGTCACAAAAGACACAAGGATCAATTGGGATTTTATTAGCTAAAATACCAAACGTGAAAATCAGAAGTGTTGGTAGAAAAATAAAAACTGATATTCACAGTCCTGTTCTCCCTGCCTTATAAAGCTTTGTTCACGTTTGCCGCAGCAGTTAGTGGAACAGTTCAGGGGGAAAGAGCTTTGACGCGGCCTCTCCATCTCCCGCACAAAGTTGGGCTCACGGTTGCGGGCCTTGGAAAGAGCTTGCTGAAGAAAACAGTGTTCCGTCGGCCACAGTCTCGAACACATGGTGGGGTTCATGAGAACAGTAAACAGCATTGATGCATTCACAAGAGATCCTCTTTTAGGCCCCACTGGAATTCAACAGGTTTCACATTTGCTAAGTGTTTGGTAGACCCTTCCCCTACCCCAAAAAAACTTAACAGGAAGTTAACATATTAAACTTAAGAGAAGAAAGTTAAGAGGAAAAAAGATCAGAATATGATACCAACGTTTTTCAGATCAGGGGAAAGTTAAAGTGACAAATTATAGATCTAAAGTGCTCAACCAGCCTTAAGGCATGGGGAAGCCCCAACCAAGTGGTTGGAAATTCTACAATGTGGTCAGAGAATCTGACTGGCTAATCCTGATTTGTTACCTACAAAAAAGACAGCCATTCCCTACCTACCTGCCACAACCCCCCTCCCCCGGTCAGCCTCTGCAATTGAAGAAGTGAAGGTCTGTCATTGCTTGGCAAAGCCAACCACATGACCCAAATTCTACAATGGAAGGGTGACATGGAGAACGGGAGAGGTACTGGACAAAAAGATGCATTTCACTAAAAACTTGGATTATATATATTTTAAAAGCCTAACTGATCAGAGCCAATTTAAACATTCAGGGAAACATCATCTCCTAAAGGATGTAGGGGAAGTTTGTTTCAAAGCATCCCACAACCGTTTCCCTGTAAGAGAGGAGCTGTCTAGATATTGACAAGGGAGGCATTTTTAAACAAGCAATTCCCTGCTTGTATTTTGACACTGTACAGTCTCAGGAGAGGGCTGTACATCTCCTCCCCACCCCAAATATGAATTGATGCTGCAGTGGCCTCAAGAGTGAGAATGCAAAGATCTATCTTCCAAAGACAGACCAGTAAACACGTAGAATCTCCGCCACCCCCAAATCTCTGGAGGAAGCATTTCTGAATCTGCAGATAACAGGTCACGACTCTGCAGAGGATGGCACTTGAGGAGTAACAATGGGCTGGCAACAGTAGTAAGACTGGACCCTGGAGGAGAGGCAAATTGCCCAGGCACTTGTAGGGTTCCAAAAAGAAAGATCCAAGTCCCCACAGCAGGGAGATGTCTGCAGGACAATTACTGTTCCTATATACATACTTCTAAAAATCCAGGCCTATATAACAAGATTTAAGACAACAGATGATCACAATACTCCTCACGTAATACAAGTGTTAAGAAATGTTTCACACGGAATCTGCACAACCTAATCAACGAGGACATTATTAACAAGGGAACAACCCAGCGTTCAGGAACTGATTATCATAGCATTTACTGGATTTCATCCAACTACCATTTGTTTCGCAAACAAGAGACACAGCGAGAACCTTCACAGTTCGGTAAAACTGCACTTCATATCCATGCCACATATTTTGAGGTAGCAACAAAGCATTCTCCCCACCACCACTTTTGTCTCAGCCTTTGCTGCAGTCTAAACACAGCAATGACCAGAATCCAAGAAATTTTTTTTGCAGAAGAAGCCCCTCACCCTCTCTCTTACAGTTTCAAATTCACATTCTTCCATAAGAAAAGGTTTAAGTCCATTAAAGTGCATTCTCCCTGTCAGGAATCAGATTTAGGTGAAGTTTCTCCAGCGGTACTATCCTAGGATGGATACTTTCGGTTACAGTAAAACAGCTTCACCTTCACATATTTGTTTGCTGAATAATAATAATAAAAAATTACCCCAAAACAGAAAAGCTTGGCACTTAAGGTTACAAAAATGTTTACAAAATATAAACAAAGAATTGGCTGAAAGCTTGTTCAATGGCGGATGCAAACATTTCCAGGCTACATGGCAGTGCTCCAGAAATATTCAGACCGAGGGTAGGGAACCTGAACTCCAAAAATATCTGGAGATGACAGCTCTCACCGTTCCTGGCTGTTGGCCATGCTGGCTGGGGCTGATGGGAGTTGTAGTCTAACAACATCTGGAGGGCCACAGAGTTTTAAACCTTCTATCCATCCCCCACTCACTCACACATTCCTTGTATTGTTTGACAAGAAGAGACTTGATCAAAATATTCTGCACCAATGTCTCATTTTCAGTTAGAAAGCAGCCAGGGTTATGCCAGAATGTCATCTGGAGACCATAAGATGTGTTTGTAGAAGGATGGTTTCCTCCAGGATCTTCAGCCAGCTGGCCAAGGATGAAAATTTTACTGGAGAAAAATTGCACGGATCCACTGAAGTTCTCCCCAGTGAAATGAATGGGGCCTGTCTCAGAGCATGACAAAGCTCTTCTGTGGCTTCCATCCATTTCAGTGGGGCTTGCATAGAAGAACTTCCCCATGGACATGCCTTTTGACCTCTTCACCCTCCGGAATCCTGCATGGTGCTGCTCTGTTTGCAATGGCATCTGATGCGGGATGCTAAAGGGTGGCTAAAATCCGTAAGAAAGAAATCATCACCACACCGAAGGTCTGCCCCACTCCAAAAGTCATGGCCACAAAGGGGATCATGTCCTTTCCAGCAGCTTTGTAAACACCGGCAATCGCAGCACCTGTTCAGGAAGGGGGGAAAGGAACATCATATGTTGGTTGCTCATGTCCCATCATCCCTTTCTTCTCACTTGAGAATACACAGCAAAAGAAATGAAGGACAACTGTCATTCACTTTCCTTGTTCCTCAACCTGGTGTTCTCCATATGTGTTGTATTGCAACTCTCTTCAACCCCAGCCAGCATGATCTGGGACTCATGGGAGTTGTAGTGCAACAGCATCTGGACAGAACCTGGTTTTAGGAATGCTGCTAAGCCAATAGTTAAAAAACACAAAATCAGCCTGCTGGGTGAGCAGTTGTTTTCACATTTTAAGCTCTGCTCCTCTTCAGGGAACTCAGAACAGCATATACGATTTCCTCACCCTCCCCTTTTGTCCTCACAATGTCATCCATGGAGCTTCAGCCCTGAGTGGGGGATCCATACCTAAGGCTTCCTAGCCTTAGTAGAAACCACAACACCACTAGTATGAATACCAAAGGGTCGTCCAAAAGCAGGGCACAATAGGGATAGCTTTCTACTGTTGTTAACATCAAGCATCTTGGAGTCACATACATACACCCTCACTGACAGCCATACTTCTGGCTGTCACAGGCTGGAAAGATGGGTAGCAAAGAGAAGAATGGGAATCCCCAAATGGCCTCTCAGCTTTCAAAAGGCTCAATGGCTCAATAGACTTTATTTGCATAGCCGACAGGCCATAGCATCGAAGGACAAACATCGACAACAATACATTACAAATATAGATACCATAAAATCTTATGACCTATTAAAACCCATTCATCAATGACCCTCTGCACCATGGGCGGCAGCCTTTTCTCTGGTAGATTGTTCCAGGTCGGTTAAGTAAATAGACCAGCCAAATTGCAAGATTATAAATATTAAATATAACCTCGGAGGGATGGTCAGGACAGGGAGAAAAATAATAATAACCAGATGCAGATAAATTAATAATCTCAATACTTAAAACTTGGCAGAGGTAATAAAATAATAGTAGTAAAACATAATGATAATAAGATCCTAGGCGAGGAATCCGGGTGACAACACTAATGTCATTCAGATAGCAGCTCTCAGTCTCATTGCTCTCTTTCAAAAGGTGTCAACCCGTCTCCATGACAGATGTGATTGACAGGTGGCATTGTCCAGCCAGCCAGGACCCACTTGGGTCAGAAACATTTTTAAACAGCCCAAACTCGCTCAGCATTGCTCATCTGACCACCTACACTGCTACATGTGAGGACACGAGAAACCCGCTTGTAAGTAGATCTGATAGGATAGATAGGCTTGAATGAAAGGGCTCTTTTTGTTCTTTGACTATAGAAACATTCTGCCTCTTCCATTTATCCTCCTCCTTTCTTTTTTATTTTTAACAAACCTCACAAAATGTGGCTGTTGAGGTCTTGGGTGTGTTTCTGCGAAAACTCCCAGGATTATTCCAAACTCTCCCGTGCCTAATTGGTCATGTTATGTGGGGGGATGGGGGAGAAAGACAGAGAGAGAGCGCTATAATGTAAACTCTCCCTCTTCTAGCGAGATTTTATGAGTCTGACATTGGGAATCCCAGATTTGTTCCCAATATGTCCTGCCATTGGACACAGAAATAAGGAGATTGCTAGGCTGCTGGGGCAAAGGAATGTTTCAAACAGCCAACCTACTTGATAAAATCCCAGCTGCTAATGGCCCCACGAAGCCCATCAGCAGGATGCTCACCGACATGAACCTGCCGTATCTGTGCCGCCGGAGAGTGAAGAGGGCCAGGAGTGCTGCGGGGATGTGGAAAAAGAGAGACGACACCATTGCCCACAGGAAGACGCCATACCACATCTCTGCCATGAGATAGGAGAGAAGAGGGTAGTAAGAGCAGAAGAGCAGCCAGCTGGATCAGGCCCAAGGGCCCATCTGGTCCAGCATCCTGTTCTCACAGTGGTCTACCAGGTGCAGTTTGGTAAGCCCAGAAGCAGGACCCCAATGCAGCAGCTCAAAGTAATGATTATGTGCTGTTCTTTTTTGATGCTGCCTTTAGTTTTATTACGGTTTGAGCTTCAGCAGTTGGACCATTGTTGCTTTTTAACTATTTTAAGCAACTCTAAGGAAGGAAAAGTAGGGTATAAGTTTTTTTAAGTAAGAAAGATAGATTAGCTGCTTTGTCTCATGCATTAAAGTATCTTGGGGGCAGCCCTGGAGTCAGAAACCCTTGATTAATCTATATGTGGGCCCCAATCCATAGCTGTCAACGTTTCCCTTTTTAAAAGGGAAATTCCCTTATTCCGAATAGGATTCCTCGCAAGAAAAGGGAAAAGTTGACAGCTATGCCCCAATCTACCTGTTGCCTACCCTCGGTCAGCCTTCGCCAAAGCGATGGCCTCCCTTTTTGGCTTTGGGCTATGAATTCCGGGCTGGGGCTGATGGGGGAATTTCCAGGGTGGTCTCCACACCCTTTGAGTGGCGAAGCAGCAGCAGCTTCCCCAGGTCTTGCCCACCCCACCTGGAGACTCCAGGGACAGGCGCCTCCCTTTCCTTCAGTGGCACCCACAGTGACCTTGTCCTACCCCTCACAAGTGGGACGGGGGAAGGAGGCGACCCGGGTATGTGCAGAGGGCGCCCAACCCCTTCGCGGGGCCCTGGAAGGCAGGCGTGGCGTGAGTCCCGGAACCTACCTGTGAAGTCGCAGAGGGATTCGGCGCACGCGGCTCGGGTGACGTTTCCCGAGCGAGGCACCAGGTGGAGGCTCAGGATCTGGTGCAGGAGGCCCCCCGGGGCGGGAGGGACCGAGTCGCCGCCGCCGCCGCCTCCTCCCTCCATGCCTCCTTCGACATCAACATCCGCTCCGCCAGTGCCACAGAGAGGCAATGCTAGAGCGGCCCCAGGCAAGAACTTCCGGTGAACGAAGCGGAAGCCGCCCTTTTATTGCTGTACTGTATTGTAAACCGCTTTGAACGTACTTTTTTATGACACAGCGGCGTACAGCTATTTTAATAAATTAAAAATGAATATAGGGTCCAGGTTTTAATAATAATAAATGAATACATTTATTGAATTGTCGAAGCCTGAGCTCGACTCCACATTCAGGCAGGCTAGGCAGCTTCGTCCCGGGCCTTGCCTACCTCGTTAGGGTAAAGAGAAGGAGGGGCAGTGAATATAAGTCATAAATGAAAAAAGGAACTAGAAGTAGAATCTGCCTCAGTGGGAGAAGCCTGTTGTACCCTCAGACTGCCACTCCCGTCGTGGATTACGGAGTTTATTAAAAATAAGTATAGAGCCATGATCACTCGCTGCGTCCTTTTCTTCTTCTCCATGGGATTTAATAGCGCAGCAAGGCCGAGGGAAGGGCCCTGTCATCGTCACCCACTGGCAACAGTACGATCGCTCTTCACTCACAGCCTTTTAGGGAGCCTCAACTTTTCCACAAGCCGCGATTAAAAAAGTAAAATCTAAGCGTTGTGTCGCTCTAACCTTCTTTATCTCTAGGGTTCATATAGTGAGGCACTCTTGCTCAGGAAACCGGATGTGCTCTATGGTAGAAGAAGTACTTCCTGCCCTTTAGTGAGGGAGCGCTTGAGCTTCGCCGAAGAGCCATGTCGGACTCGGAGGAATATTCGTCGGAGGAGGATGAAGATTACCTACCCTCAGGTGGGCGGCCCGGTCCCCGCGCTCAGGAGAGGACCGGGCCCGGGTGCTCGGTCGCTCCCCCCAAAAAGAGAATGCCTGGGAGGGCTTCGGACTGGGGTTCCTACGCGCAGAACGCCTCTTACATCCGGGCTACAACGTTGTGTTCATCACGTGACAGCAGCCCCGGCTCAGCAAGTTGAGCTGTTGAATGAGGTGGACGGAGTTTGAAAGGGGTGGAATGGGCTGAACCACCTCAGGCTACAAATGGAGGAGAGAAATCAACGTTTCAGTGCTCTCTTATTGTTGTCGTTTTTATTTTATTTTTATTTGTTGTTATTATTTTATTGCCTTTATATCCCACCTTTTTCTCCAAGGAACTCAGGGTGTTGATATTTTCTCCCTCCTCATTTAATCCCCACAACAACCCTGCGAAGTAGTTTAGCCTGAGAGGCAGTGACTGACACAAGGTCGCCACTTGTGAGCCTCATGGTTAAGCGAGGATTTGAATCCTGATCTATCAGGTCCTAAAAGGTAAAGGGACCCCTGACCATTAGGTCCAGCCGTGGCCGACTCTGGGGTTGCGGCGCTCATCTCGCTTTACTGGCCGAGGGAGCCGGTGTACAGCTTCTGGGTCATGTGGCCAGCATGACTAAGCCGCTTCTGGCGAACCAGAGCAGCTCACGGAAACGGCGTTTACCTTTCCGCTGGAGCGATACCTATTTATCTACTTGCATTCTGATGTGCTTTCGCTATTCCAACACTAACCACCACACTGGTTTTCCAGTGAGAAAAACCCTTTGTAAGTAGAAAGCTTACAGAAGTGTTTCTTGCTGATGTGCTGTTTTTCTCCTTGCAGGGAGCTTTCACCATTTTAAAAAAAATGTTACCTTTTTTTTGGTAAAAGTATTAAAGTGACATCGCACTATAAGGCTAATAACAAAAATGTTTTTGAAGTTCATTTTTGTTAGGTTGCTGCGTGATATTATTATTTAGTTTAGTTTTTCTGAAAAGACAGCTAATAAATATAAATAATAATATCACAATCATTTTAGTCATGTTTGATTCGAAGGCTTCGAAGTCCTACTCTGGACTTGATTTATTCCAATCAAACACACTCAACAAAAATGCAGGCAGTAGCTTCTCTAAGGGTGAGACATAAACTTTTTGATGTGTAAGAGTGCGGTGTACCTCCAATTTTAATTTAGAAAAAGAATATCTAGGATTTTACATTAAGATAATAAGGAATGGTTTCTTTTTGAAGTTGACATAAAGGAATGCAAGACCATGGGCAGGAGTGGAATATTGAATTATAAGAGTTGGGTGGCCCAGAAAGACCACTGTAGTACAGAATACTGCCCAACTGCAATCCCATAGGACCCTTTCCCCATATAACATGCAATCCCAGCCTAACTATTGCTGCAGGCACAAAATCTGTTGAAATGATTAGTTTTGATAACTAAAGCTGTGTTGATAACAGGTGAAGAGTACAGTGAAGATGATGTAAATGAATTGGTTAAGGAAGAGGATGAGGAGGAGAAGCCATCACACAGGGAAAAATGCAAGAAGAATTCCAAGGAGATCACATGTCGGTAGGCACCAGCTTCATTTGATGTCAATGGAAGTGAGTGAGCAGATTAAGAACCCTGTGGCTGGCTCTAGAAATGTACATATTTGGTTCTGCTTATGAAGAAATAGCTCAGGTCAAGAATCATGCCTTCAGAATAGGTGGATCCTTAGAGAGTGATGACAGTGCAAGTGGGAAACTATCAGTAACACAGCCAGCTCAGCAACAGTTCTCAGCCGGTTCAGCAAGGAGCTGGCTGAGAATTCCCCCAGTTTTCTCTTTCATATCTGCCTAGGTTTTCTTCTTTATCTGAGATAGTAGCCATTAAAATGGCTAATTATACCTTGACTGAGTTTTTCACATTCGTGTCTCCATTCTTGGTTTTTTGTTTTTTTTTCATTGTAGGGGTTGCAGTGGTGCATGGGATACTGACATACTGTCATTTATCAAGCTTTCAGTCTTAACTCATGATTCCACATTGCAACTACTGGGCTTTTGAAAGATCACTGCAAAAGTATAATGTAGGCAGTGGATGTAAATCATTTGCTAACGTGAGTATGGTTTGGTGACATTCATTCCTAGGAAAAGGAACAAAGGATGTGGCCTCTTCTTAGAACCAGGTGGAGGAGAGGCATCAAAGGATGATGAAAGCGACAGTGAGGATGGCGAGTCGGCAGAAAGCAATCCACACATGAAAGAAAGTGATAAAAGACAAAAAGAGGATGCTTTGTGGGCCAGTTTCCTCAGTGATGTGGGCCAGAAACCAAAAGCACCTCCTGCAGTTCAGGCGTCTGGCTGCACACAGAAAGACAAGGTGAGAAGAGGGCATGTGTCATTCAGGCATTGCTGTTTGGAGAGGGCACAATAGGGGTAGTATATTGCCTTTGATAATTAATGTCTGCAAGACATTTGGGTTTTCAACTGTTCACTAATCAAAGACGTCCAGAACAAGGGAGATTCCACACAAATGTCCATTCAAGGGTGGTCGTTGTTGATTCTTTCTGACTATCCTGGTTTGCTCTTCCAAGAAAGTAGATCAGATTGATGATGTTACAGTGGTATCTGGGTTTATGAACTTAATCCATTCCGGATGTCCGTTCTTAAACCAAAACCATTCTTAAACCGAGGCGTGCTTTCCCTAATGAGGCCTCCCACAGCTGGTACCCTTCCACCGTTTGGATTCCATTCTTAGACCGAGGTAAACTTCGCAAACCAGGACACTACTTCTGGTTTTGCAGAGTTCGTAAACCGAAAAGTTCGTAAACAGGCTGTTCTTAAACCAAGGTACCACTGTATAGAGATTACTGTAAGAAATGGGAGGAGAGAGAGAGATGGAGGAAGGTAGTTAAGGTAGATCAATACCAATTTTGCCTGGAAAGAAATTTACAAATGGAGCCATGAATGCCATTATTTGCAACTTAGAAAAGTCTTCAGAGTACCCTTGCATAAATGGCATTATATTAATCAGGTCTTTAAAAGTTTCAAATGATAGTTCATTTGAGGTTTGAGATCTTGGGATGAAGAGGCCTGTTGAAGTAGTTGAACCCATAACATCTAGGCATGAGATTTGTTGATGTCAGGGAATGGCCTGAAGATGAGGACTGGGGAATGCATTCTATGGCAGACCAGCTTCTCTCCGATGGAGAGGGGGAAGAATCCCCTCCCCCCCCCTGCTCATCCACAGCAGAGAGAGAAAGAGAGAGACAGCTGAACAGTTTAGGGAGGAGTTACCCAGTTATGAGATAATGACAACAGAACCAGAAGGGAGGGGGAAGCTAGTTGAGACGTCACTTGAGAGTGTGTGAGGGGGACCCCCTCACCACAGACTTGGAGGTCTGAATGTATCAGAGAGCAAAGGAGTCAGAGGAAAGGAGAAGCTTTCCGTTGGCACCTAAAATGCTGCAGAAGTCAGAAGGAGGATTAGACTAGCCAACTGCCCTCCTTGCGGAGAGCTGTGTATTTGTGCTTACAACATGATGCTATAATAAAAGGACTATAAATCTATCAACTGCTTGTTAATTCTTATCTGTGAAGCTACTGAAGGGAGAGAAGGACTCTCCACACCTGACACGTTGTGTTGCAAAACTTGGGGTTCCAGATCACACTTGTTTTCATGCTTGAATTACCAGGGAAGTGAATTGTCATTCGAAAATCCAGATTAGATAGGAGTGAAGTTTGAATGGAAGTGGAAGCTGATGGCAGAGAAGCTACTGTTGGTATTGGGCATGGCATTGCAAATCTAGAACATCTGAACTTTAATGAACGTGAAAGAGAATTTGGGCTGGCTCTGATGTTTGACAAATGTGGTTTCTCATAATTTTTTTGGTTAGCCAGCTGAAGAGAAGAATTCATGCAAACCTCAGGAGGTGGTAGAGAGATCTGAGAAGAGCAAAGTTGCCATCACCAAAGTCTTTGACTTTGCAGGTGAAGAGGTGAGGTGAGTTTGGCCTCTTGCCTTTCTAGCCACAATGAGCCATATCCCTGGTCCTTTTTGAGCAATTGCATTTAACTGTTTGCCTCAACTGTGTCTGAAAATATCAACAGTATTTTATTAAAATATGCATATCCTTACTTACTTTCTGTCCCATTATAGGGTCCCCAAAGCATCTTAGCAACATTCACATGAAGATTTAGGTTTCAGTAGAACAGAAAAACTAAAAAAAAAAAAAAAGGCATCAAAACAGCAACATAATGGGTGGATAAGACAGGACCACTAGACGTCCTCCAAACACAAGGCTGAACAGTGCTGTCCCCAATGGGTTATGAAAGGTTGAGGGGGCAGAGAATTTCACAGTAGGGACACCACTGGCAAAAAGCTCTTGACCCCTGTATGCAGATATTGTGTGTTAGAAGGGACCCTGGGTTGTATTTCTAAACCATCTAACGACTAGAGCAGGGGTCAGCAAACTTTTTCAGCAGGGGGCTGAAACTTTTTCAGCACTGTCCCTCAGACCTTGTGGGGGGCCCGACTATATTTTGAAAAGAAAAAAAAATGAACAAATTCCTATGCCCCACAAATAACCCAGAAATGCATTTTAAATAAGAGCACACATTCTACTCATGTAAAAACACCAGGCAGGCCCCACAAATAACCCAGAGATGCATTTTAAATAAAAGGACACATTCTACTCGTGTAAAAACACACTGATTCCTGGACCATCCGCCAGGTGGATTTAGAAGGCGATTGGGCCGGATCCAGCCCCCGGGCCTTAGTTTGCCTGCCCATGGACTAGAGTGTGTTGGCAGGTTCATATAAGAGGAGACAAGTCTTCATATATTCAGGCCCACAACAATTACCTAGTGATATAACATTGACCCAGGGCCAGGAACTGGATAAAAATTAACTCTGCCTTGTCAACAGGAGCTGCTGCACAACAACAGAGCCTTGCTTCTGTTTCATGCTTCAAAATTCCCATTGCTTGTCTGGACTTTTTCCTGCATTGATATAAAAGTGGTCTAGACACCCCCCCTCCCCACATTAACCACTGAAATATCTAAAGAGAAAGTCTTCTCAGCAAAAGCGAACAATAATTTCTCATCCTGACACAGATAGCACTAAATGTGTTATAAGCCCCTGCACTGATGTAAATTGAAAGAGTGTGCAGTAATTGAACCAGTTCTTTTGCATAGGAATTAATCTATCAGACTCTCGACTGTAATTAATGACCAGAAAGAAAATCTGAAAGCAATGAGACAGTCTCATCAACAGCCAATATTCTAGATGTCTGCTCTGACATGAGAAATTATGGAGGTTCCAAAGTACCTCACCCTTTGCTTAAGCCTGCCTGGAAAATGCCAGAGACTTTCGTATCTCATTAGAGAAAGGAGCAGAAGAGTTTTCCGGATCAAACCAAGGGCTCATCCAGTCCAGCATTCTGCTTCCCACAGTGGCCAGCCAAATGCCTTGTTGAAGGGAAAAAGCAGGTTTTAAAGGCAGTAGGTCTCCTCTGATGTTTCTTCTCAGCATTGCACCATACAGACATAAAATAACCATATGACAGGGTACACACAGGTCCCACTTTCTGAACACAATAGGTTCATAGGAAATCGTTCCTTAAGCGTGCATTTGCATAAGAAGCTGATGATTTCCATTACTTCCTATGGAAACATTTCTAATGTGTGATTTTTCTGTTCTCTCTTGCCCTTCCTCCCCCCATAGTTTGTGCCTGAAGCGGCTTCCAATCTGCAAAAGCCAAACAAAGGAAAAACTGATTAGTCTGATCTCTCCCTCCCTGTGTTTTCTGCCCAAAATGGCTGCCCATGACCAGCAAAACACAAACAAGTATGCAACTGAGCAAACTCCCACTGTCTGGATATCTGAACCAGCCATTAGGGTATAATTCTTTGTGATTGGTTAACTGAGATTTTGAATAACATGTGCCCCAATAGCAGGACCTGCATGTACTGGTAATTGTTCATTTTGACTAGTCTTTATCTAGTTTATATGTTCTGTCCTGATTCCACGGGGGAAAATCTTTCCGGGTTGGACTCCTATCAGGGATGCTGCCAAGTTGCAGTTTATAAATAAGAGTGTTCCTCCTGTTGCAAACCAGAACTCTGCAAATATACCCTATAGTTATTACATATTCCATTTATGAACAATCAAAAATCAAATGCAGCCTGTTATTCTTAGCGTACGAGTGCTGATTGGATTTTTATCCAAACCTTGGCCATTCTCCAAGACCTCTATCGTCAGTCCCAAAAAGAATAAACACAGCTCCCAACTGATCTTAATTTATATTTGCTATAACAATTACTCAGACACAGTAAATGTAATAAATTGGAACTGGAAACAGATGCCATTTAATTGTCAGTGACCTTATAAATGAGCAGCCAGGACTTGGTATTGCTTGTAGTGTTTTGTTGGGATCCTTATTGCACAGTGTTTACCTGTGGAGGGGTTGGCTAGATGGGGAGTACTTGGGCCCAGGAGGCTTTAGTAAATAGCCAGTTCAGTATGAATCAGTAGCCTGATGCTTTGGTTTAAAGGGCAAATGGCATCTTGTTTTCTTAAAGACACATTGTTCCAGGGCTTGGCAAGTAGTATTGTTACTGATGAGACTTGCATGACGCATAGATTACCTGAGCCTGTAATTCAAGAAAGATATTGACAGACTGAAGAATATTCCGAAGAAGATAAGATACCTTGAAAGCACATTATATTTGGAAGAAACATGAAGGAACTGTTTATGTTTACCCTAATGAAGAGGCCACAGGGAGGGAGTATGTTGACACTTCATGTGTTTAGGAAGGAAGGGAATCATTGTTCGCCAGGTCCACTGAGGATACTCCAGGAAGTAACAGGTTTAAATAACAGGAAGGTAGATTTCGGTTAAATGTTGAACAGAACTTCCTAAGTAGATGATCACTTCAGCAACGCCACAAAAACCATCGTTCTAGGGATATTGTAGATTCTCCTCCAAACTTTTTGAAGATGGTGTCTGTTGAGGATGCCAAAGCAATAGATTTTGAACTGAAGAAACTACACTGTCATGGATGAAGGAAAAAATGACTGCATAAAAATGGGTTAGATAGCATATCTGAGGATAGATTATTTGGCTTGTATTTTTTCCTGGACATTTTCTTGGTAGGAATTAAATTTATGAACGACTTTTGGAATTAATATGAAAAAGCTGTATATGAATTAGTCTGTTAGCTGTGACAGCTAACGTTGGTATGTTCACTGGCCAGTAACCAGATGCTGTGGATGAACTGGATGGATACCACAATCGTGCTCTGCTTGTGGGAAAGATTAGCTCCTCGAGGCATCTGACTTGCCACTATTGAAAAGAAAGTGCTAGGCCTTTTGCCTTACTTAGCAGGATAATTCTTTCATTCCTATGGTCTTTTTCACTATGCCTCTAGAAGTTCGATGCTTGGTGGTTGTCTGTGTCTTAGCTGAGAAGAAATGCTTTAAGAGGGCGGTGCATCTTCAAAGCAGAGCTGTTGAGAAGAGTCACCCAGTGAACTTCATGGCATACCAAGAACTTGAACCCAGGTCTCTGTAGTCATTGTCTGTAACACCACACCGCCTCTCACAACTTTATGGCCACCAGCTGCCTCTATAGTTTCTGCTCTGCACACGTGTTCCAGCTTTAACATATGGCTTTGGTATTCTTCCCTCTCCTTGTGGCAGGGTCACAAAGGAAGTCGATGCTACGTCTGAAGAAGCCCGATTCTTTCTGAAGCAGCAAGAGCAGAAGACTGTCGTCCCAGCATCCTTGCCTACTGTTTCTGGGTAAGCCCTAGCTGCCTGGTCCTACAGTTCCAAAGCTTCTGTGGGCATTATAATTCTGCTGGGAGATTGTAATGCTTGCATCTTTGGTGTTGGCAGGATCTTGGGATCTCTGTACTCATCAATGAGTTGCTTGGATTCTACTTGTGAGACTTTCCCTTGCTCGAGTCACCCTCGGGGGAAGTAAATGAATGAATGATCTAAGCAGGGTTTCCCAAAGTTGGGTCTGTAGCTGTTTTGGGACTACAATTCTCATCATCCCTAACTACTGGTCCTGCTAGCTAGAGTGATGAGAGTCTAAAAACAGCTGGAAACCCAAGTTTGGGAAGCCCTGAACTAGCGCATTCTTGCCAGGGAGGAAGGAGGTTTCACATTCAAGTCACAGTGAGCTCTCATCCATGAAGGAACCTGAGGTCTGCTGCCATTCTCCTTGAGAGGACAAGTGGCCCCTGAAGAGGTTCTATGGCTGCACACAATATTCTGGCTACTTCCCTCTTGAGCCCTTCTCTCTTGTATCCTGTCTTTCAAGCTAAAGTTGCAAGCTTGACAATTTGAGGCCATTGCAGAAAGTGCTTCCTGGTCTTAATAAACAGTAACCATACAAATGGAGTGAGAGTACTTGGCAAGAAGTTGTGATGGTAGAACCAGACATACAAAAAGCATAAATAGCCATGTTATTCCATTGTGGTGGTGGGGAGTATAAAATCCACAGTAGGACAATTTTATTAGGACCAACCCAAATCACTCAAATGTCTTCAAGTTCTCTATTGTTTTAATTATTTTGAAATATACTCTCATTGTTCTGGGTTTGTGTGTATTACTGTATTTTGTTTTGGTATGATTAGCTGGTCATGCTCTCTGTATATCAACCATGATAGCTGCAGGGATGAAGGGTGATATAAAAATATTTTAAATGGTAGAATGTTGAGCAAACTTTTGAATTCTGCAGAACTCTCCTTCAAGCTGGATGATAGGCAAGATGGGATGCTCAAACCCCCCCCCCCATAAAGTGGGCATGCCATTAAAGCAATGTCATTTGCAGGTTGAAGCAGAAATGTAATAATTTATTTAATAACACAATATGCCATTCAGTATAAACATTCTCAACCATAAAACAGTTGTAAAATAAGTGTTATAAAGTTATGCATTGACCCCAAGACTGAAGACAGTGTTTGACACCTAAGGTTATACGTTTTACTCTGAGCAGACCCTTTGGGATCACTGGACTTCGGTTGTATTCCAAGCACAACAATACTTCTGAGTAGAGAAGCTTAAGCTTGTGCTGTAATAAGGCCAGTTGACATCAAACAATCAACTTAACTTAGAACAACCTGTAAAGAGCAGATTTGAGAATTGCATGCCACTGGACTCCCATATCAATGAGCATTTACCCCATTTCTAAACCAGCCTTCCATCACTTAAGATCCCAGGGTGGTTTTTGCAATACAAATATTAACAATACATATAGAACAACTGAAAGCCATGTAATGTTTGGTTTATGGATGCAGGCATCTGGGCGCCAAATTCCTGTCCTGCTAAAGCCTGCACATAACTCCAGGCAGGGGTCTTGATGGAGCTGATAGCTCTTCAGTTCCATTGCTGCGTAATAGTTGAATCACACCTGCACTGTGGACCTGTTGCTACACAGTGTGAAGGATTCCTTGCTAATAGTTAAATGAAATATTCTCAGATGTTGGGTTTTAAGATGAAGGAGTTTGGTTGTGGGTTGGGAAAGTTCCACCTGCCCCCTCTCCCTGCCATGCTGTAATCCTGGCAGGTCTGATTGTTCCCACCATTCAAGCTGCATTAGCCAGCGCACAGTGACTCCACTTTGGGAACAAAGATTCCATTTTCAGTCTAGATTTCCCTGCTTTTGTAACCCAAATTCAGTGTGCTAATCACAGCAGAGGCTATGAGAAAACAGCTCCGGTAGCAATATAGTTAGAGCCTGGCTTTTCTGTTTGGGCTTATTATAGAGTTGCTTGCTGCTAATAGCAGCCTTGGTCTCTCACTCTCATCTTGGTGTTTTCCAAAATGACAGCCCTGAGTTTGTGACCTCTGTGGCCTCTTGTCACCTCCCAGGTTGCTGTGAATTATCAGCAGGTGAAATTACTTTAAAGCAAGTTGGGCAGCTCCCTTTTCCTTAAGCATGGACTGGATTGAAGGGTCAGTCTTACATAAGTTGAATCAGTGCATCAGATCAGTGGCCTGTTACAAGATGCATTCCTTTCTAGCATTTGAGAGGTAAAGACATGCATCTTTGCTTCCAGGAGCTCCCTTGAAGCTTTGGTTTATGTATCTCTTTTGGTCTTCACCCTGCTTTGTACTGAGAATTCAGGAACCACTCCAAGAGTTATATTGGATCACCTAAAGAGGTCATGGGGTGATGGAAGCCTTCTGCTGTAGCTGGAGGAGCCTCTTGTTTTCTCCTGTATATATGCTGATGCTGCCGTCTGTCTCAGAGCAGAAAGCTCTTCAGGAAACAGCCTGGGCTGGGATTGTATCCTTCAGGGGCTGGGCGCTGGGCTGCGTCTGGCTCCATGAAAAGATGGCCACATTTCCTGCTGTCAACATCCACTTTCAATGCCTGTCTTAATTCTGCTGAACTGCTGCTTTCTTTCCTGGTGGCAGGGGGGCAGTAGAAAAGAGGTGCAGAATCTGTGGCCCAGCAATGTTGCTGGGCTGCAGTTTCCATCATCTCTGCCCCAAAACCTTCTGTCACAGGGATATCTTCATGTTTGTAGACTTAATTTTAGAGCCATTTGAAATATTATCTTTTGGCACTAAGGCATGTGGTGAGATCAAAGTGTGGTCCCTGTTTGTTTGCAAGAGAGTCCTCTTCAGCACCCATGGAGCGGGAAGCTTCAGGTTTTCGGTGTGGATAGATATTTTTTTAATGGATCACAGCCACCAGGGGGCGCGGAACGACTCTGAGCCACAAAATCAGTTACTGTCCAGGTGATGTCATTTCGTCTGCAGATTTAATAGCAATTAGAAAACTCTTTGTCAGGCTAGAAGGGGCCTCATTCCTCTGCATGTCCCTCCAAGAGCTCCACAGCCAGTTTGAGCAGGCTGCTTTCCAGACAAATCACCTTCTTCTTTGCTCTCTGTGTGCTGTGTTGTAGTTCTCATTAGCCTGCTGCATCACCCTGAGAGCTCACGTCAAGAGGAGGCCTCTTGCTGAGAAGACTGCAGCCCTTTCAAAACACTGTCTGCTAGCAGCTAGAAATGCCATTAAATGGAGTGGAGACCTGGAGTCTCAACCAAAAGCCTGAATGCTAGACCTCTGGGCCAGCACTTTGCTCCTGTGTGCGTGGCACTGCTTGGTCCCATTTGCTGCCCTTCTTTGGAAGGGATATGGCTGGAAGGGATATGGCTGGATATGAGCGGCCAGCTGTGGAAGCCATTTCCTGTGGTTTGAGACATGGGTGCTTCTTTCTGCTGTTTTTGGTGGAAGCAGTGCTCTTTCTCTGGATTAGCACTCCCCCACTCTCCCTGCAATCCCAGGGATTTAGACCCTTCTGCTGTGATGCTGCGTGTCGATTCCACGCCAGACCCGGGCAAGGCGTAGCCATTAGGAGGGAGCTGATTGGGCCAGGCCTGGAGGGGGAGGGGCCAGGCAGGGAGCATCTGTCCTTCATTTAGCTGCTCTGTGCTTTGTGGAGGCTGGGAGGGAGCACAGCTGCAGAGCACCAATTCTGCAGGCACCAGCCAAAAGGGGAGCTTGGAGCGGCTCTGAAAAATGTGCCTTGGAACAAAATATGGCTCCTGTAACGGCAGGCGTTTTGCCCTGAAGCACAGCGGTGCACTTTGAAAAGAGCAACGCTGGCTTGGTTGAGAACTTTTTTTGGGGGGGGGAGTGCAGGGAGAGCGACAAGGGACTTGGATTCGGGAACCAGCCAGTCTCAGTAAAAGTTGGAGCCCTGTGCTGTACGCTAGACCAGAAAAGTGTCCTCTTTCAGCAACCAGGCCCTTCAGATGTTGAGTTCTAAACTTATTATCTCAGCTGTGAAAGTCCAATGACTAGCCATGGTCTTAAACAGCAGCTGTTTGGCAGAGGATGAGAGTGAGATCCTGATGATAGTCTCTGTGCTGCTCATGAGAAAGGGCTTCTCGTGTTACCTTGGGCAGGTCACTCATTGGGCTTGTTTTCCAGGCAGGGCACGTTTCCCATCTCGCAAGTGCCAGAGACCTCTTTCTGGGAGACTGGCTGTCCTCGGGCTTCTCATACCTTTTCTCAGCACACCTAATCACACAGGATTGTGCGGAGGATAATAAAGAAAATGGGGAGAGACAGGGGTGCTGATCTGAGGAGCTGGGAGAAGTGGTGAAATTAAAAACGTTACAAACTAGGGGTGGCTGACCTATGGTCTTTCATATATTTCTGGACTCCTTCTCCCATCATCATCCCTGCCATCTGACTAGGGCTGACTCTGCCCACACATGAAAGGCCACAGGTTACAAGCAAGAAAGGCCACAGGTCAGCCACCCTTGTTACAAGCAAGCATTTAGCCTGGCTGTTGAACTGAACAGAGACATCTGGATTGTGTTTCAAATTTTGCACTAGCTACACAGGCAGCAAGGAGTGCAGAAAGAGTGAGAGTGTATTGTTGTACACCTTGAGGCCCTGAATTTGGACAGAATCTTGAAAACAAAAGGGATGGAAAATGTTTTCCTCTGACTCATTGTTTTCCAGTAAAATATCCTGAATGCTGGCCTTAGCCGTCCATGGTTCTTTCCCCTCGGCCTTAGAATGCAAGTCGTTTCCGCTCTGACTTCTCAGAATGGCCCCTGATTGGCAGAAAGGAAGTTATCCCAGGAATGCAAATAAACTGCAAGCTAGAGACTCTGCTGACGGGGTTCATGGGAGTTTGCAATGCCGTTTCCACGTCTGCAGTGACGGATCTGCAGAGGCCCCATTAAGGCCGCGTGGCGTTTCCTGCACACCCTGGGAGTTGGAGGGCCATGCTGTTTCGTTACTTAAGGGCTAGAATTTCCCACTGGGCAGATGGCTGTGATGTAGACTCTTTTCCAGGACTGGGCCTCATTCATTAGGAGACTTCTGCTGTCCAAAGAACTGGCTTCAGAAACTCCAGTGACATTTGAGAAGCGGTGGAGGATTCTGCTTTGGTGGTGCTCGGAGCAAAGGAAAGGGAGGCCCAATAATCAGTGTTCAGACGTTCTGCATTTTTTGTAAAGCCTTCCCACGGCACTCCAAAGTTGTGTGTTGGCAAGGCAAGCTGACTGTGCACCTGTGGGCACTTAATAACCTCGTGACTCACTTCCTTGTGGAAAGTTGGAGAGGAAAAAGTAAAAAGTTTTGTTAGCTGCAGACAGACTTTTGACATTGTTATCATAAGTGCATATATGTGGCAATAGTTTTATCAGAATGGACCATGGGAGGCACTTTGGTTCAAGAGCTAGATGGACTTTGGATGGTGAAGCCTCTTTGTGCTATGGATTATTCTTCTCTCTGTGCTCCATTTGTAAAAGGAAGCAAATGGGAGCCTTGTTTGTGGGGTGGTTGTTGTGGCTACATTTTATTTATGTGCTGTTTTTTGGCCCAAAGCTATGAGCAGCATATTGAAATTAACAGACTATACAGTAGAGTACAGTAAAATGCTGTAAAGAAATCCACAAACAATTGATATAAGACACCAGAGTAGCAACCTAGGAGGGCCAGGGGAAGGCCTTCCCAAGCTCATGGATTAAAGGGTGCTCTCACCTATCATACATCCCCACACACGTGGGGGCTAGAAACCTGAATAGACAAGACCCTGGGGAGCTGCGGTTGGGTAGAGCTGTAGGTAACACTGGGCTAGAGACTCCAGTGACCTAACATGTACTCCGACATACACTGGGGTTTCCTAATGCTGTAACTGAGAGGAGGACTTCAGGCTGTATGACCTGAACAAGTCCAGTGTATAATTGTCTGGATGCATTCATCAAGTGTTAGGTTCTCAAGAGATGCTGTGCAGATGCCTTCAGCCATCTTCCTCTTCTCCAAGGGACTTAGAAGTAGTGACCATAATACTTAAGACTTTATAGTGTACTTTAGCATGTTCAGATAGTTTTGCATATATTCTCCAGTAATCCTTAACAACAGCCCTTTAAGTAGACTGGTATTATATCTCCATATTGGGAAGTCACCAGCCTGATTCACTCTTCATGTCTTAGGCTATGACTCCCATCAGCCCCTGCCAGCAGCTCTGATGGGAGGTGTGGTTCAAAACATCCGGAGGACATCAGGTTGTGAAGACTGGTAGAGAGTGCATTGGTGGCAGAAAAGAGAGTTGAACCACAGCTCATTCCCTAAACTGCTGAGCTGCTGCAGATAATGACGGCTTGGGCCCACCTGTAGGAATTTTCACCTGCAAGGGGAAGAGCTGCCAGGTTGCTGGACTCTGGAGGAGCTCTGCATCCCCCACTTGGGCTCGTCTGCCTTGTTTTGCTGGGATTTCCTTGAGCCTCCCTTGTAACCTGCCTTCTTGTCTCTGCCAGAGTGAAGCGGCCGAGTGGCATGAACAGCCTCCTGGGGAAGATAGGCACCAAAAAGCAGAAGCTCAGCACCCTGGAGAAATCCAAGCTAGACTGGGAGACCTTCAAAGAAGAGGAGGGCATCGGGGAGGAGCTGGCCATCCACAACCGAGGGAAAGATGGGTAAGAGGCCAGCATCCTCCAGCAGGCATAGCAGCATATCTTTTCCAGGGTTTTGACATTTGTGGTTCTTTCCACAAACCTTGAAGCTTCAGATAAATACTTCAAGCAGGGAGCAGATGCCCTTTGGTCTGGCACTGCCTGTCCCTGTGACATCAGGGGTGGGCAGTTTTTAAGCTGGTATCAACTGTGTGTTTTTGCTGGAAGTTTAAGGTCCACCAGGCAGAGCCTGGAAACTGGCCAGTGGAACAACACAAAGTTATATTTTATAGGACTGGAATAGAGAGACCTATAATGCAGTTAAATTGGGAATTAGAAACCCTTGCTGAGCTAATGCAGATCGCCCAGGAATGTACCAATAATAGATCCCGGGGCACCCCAGTGTACTCCACACACATCTCACCACCAGTGTATCTGCAGTGAGCTCCAAGTTTGTGAAACCAGAACACTCTTGTTCTGGCCTGGCCTGGTTTTGCAAGAGATGAGGAGGATCTACACACATACACACAGAAAGAGAGAGAGAGAGAGAGAGAGAGAGAGAGAGAGAGAGAGAGAGATAGAGATTCTTCAGCTGCTTCTCATTATGGTGTTATGTAGGGCAGGCCCCACAGGAAATGCCCCTTTGGTTTTGATCTGTGTGCCTGGCAGTATGTAGGACAGGCCATGTGAGAGCCCTGGGGTGTTTGCGGGAGGAGAGATAGGTGGCCTTGTGCTGCCCCACTGAGTTATGGCAAGGGGTTGATGAGGGACAACTGAAGGTTCCACAAAAATGCACTTGATTTCATTCGTGCTTGTCTCCAGTGTCATTATTGGAAATTATTTATAGCTTGCAATTAGTTGGACAATTTGGGTTATTTTGTTGGGGAAGGAAAGTCAAGTGAAGGACTTTAGCTCTGCCTGATTCTTAATCTTTCCCACTCTCTTAAATCCATGTGCAAAGTTGTTGCCCAAGACATGTTGCACATGGAACGGGCTGCAAGAACTTACTGGCGACATGGGAGCACCAGTGCCCACCATCTGCCAGGGGAGCCTTGTGCAACAATGACTCCCTGGGGCTGAAAAGCGAGGTGGCACTTGAGGCAGTGATGCCCCTGCAAGGGCAGCAGCAACAGGGTCTTTCTGTAGTTTATTTCCTGGCGTCAAACTGGAGGCCCGACTGGCTTGTGTTTTGGTGTCTCTGGAGCTAACCCTCTGCCTCCTTCTCTGCAGGTATTTGGAGAGGAAAGCGTTTCTGGAGAGGGTTGACCACCGGCAGTTTGAGCATGAGCGGGACATACGCCTGAGCAACATGAAACCTTGAGACTGCTGCGGAGCCCAGTCCGAATCATGCCTCTGATCTGGCTAGCCTCAGAAGGCAGCAACTCATAGAGTTATGACCTATATGGATTTTCTTTTTCACCACACTAGTGAATAGGTGAATGGAGGTCGCTGTGGCAGGTGATTTGCCTGCCAAAGGGCTGCTGTGTGCAGGAGACACCAGAGTGGTTCTGCTGGGCGCTTGTCAGCGACTGCGGTGGAGGTTTTCCAGATCTCCCTGCTCCTGGTGGAGGTTTTCCAGATCTCCCTGCTCCTGGTGGTTAGGAGGGGCAAAGCAAACTTTATGCTGTGGCAGTAGCCTGCTCATGCCTGCTGCCTGGGCACCACTTCCCTGGGGCATCAGCTCCATCCGTCTCCCAAGGGCTGCAGACTCACACAGCTCCTCCGTGCAGCTGGAGGGCTTTTCTTCCCAAGGACACAATGCACTCAAGCATTGTGTCTGCATTAGGCCCATTGACCCACTTTCTGAAGACACTTCCTCTTCTCCCTGTGGGATCTCCGCTCTCGTTTTTTCGTAAACCCTTTCACCAGGATTTTTTTTAAAAAAGCAAGTCCTCTGTCATGCTCTGCATGAACATCGGAGGAACAGCAGCGTGCATGTGAGGAAAGTCGGCATCCCTTTGTTCCTTTGAATAAAGTGTTAAAACTTTATTGTCGGGTGTGTCGTTCTTCATCCATTGGCAGGGAACCTTAAAACGACTCCTTTTATCAAAGCAAAGACTGGCTGCTTGGACAGAGTCCAAACCCGTTCTCACAACCTTGATCCTATGTGCTAGGAAAATGCATGTGGAAAGCTGTAACCTGTCTTCAACACGAGGAGCAGGACCTGGTGCATCATATGGGGATTCACTTGGAGACCACCTGGAACTCAGGTGGATGTTTGATCAGCATTGGGGACTGGCTTCTGTGTGTGTGTGTGTGTGTGTGTGTGTGTGTGGCTGTCTAAAGTCCACGTTCTTGTAGAGAACATAACCAATAAATATAGGAAGCAGTTGGGGAAGAGATAAGGAGGCAGCACCATGAACTCGGGATGCATTCTACAATCCTGCAGGTGCAAGCATGCCTTGCATTTGACCCATCAACCCCTTTCATGTGGGTTGGGCAGTGGACTGGTCCTAGTCGGACCATCTGAGAGAAATGTAATAGTCTCACAACTTTGGGGGGACTTACCATATTTTTCGCACGATTGGACGCACCGGACCATAGGACACACCTAGTTTTTTGGGGGGGAAATAAAGGAAAAAATTTTTCCCTTTATTTCCCCCCCAAAAGCAGGTCAGGGAAACCGAACCAGGTCGAGGAACAGCGGGATAGTGGCGCTGCGCCTCCCTGCTGTCCTCCGAGCTTGTGGGGCTGGCTGATGTCTGCCTGGCGCGAAGGGCGCTCTGCTTCATGGCGCCCCTCGCGCCGGGCAGCAGGCTGCTATCTGCAGCGTGGGGAGCCCTGCGGGGAACTCCTGCAAAGGTCCCCACGCTGCGGATGTGTTCCCGAAGCGCCGGGTGCTCTGCTTTCAGGGCGCCCGACGCTCCGGGAAGCAGGCTGCTATCCGCAGCCTAGACACGGCTAGCAGAGCGCTAATCCCGAAGGTTGGGGCGTGCGGAGCTCAGCGCGCCCCAAGCTTCTGGGTGCCGGCAAGGTCTCCGCTAGACGGCGGAGACCTTGCCGGCACCCCGAAGCTTGTGGCGCGCTGAGCTCCGCACGCCCCAACCTTCGGGATTAATGCAGCGCTCCGCTAGCCGTGGGAGAGCTGGGTCTCCCACGGCTAGCGGATAGCTCTGAAGCCTGGAGAGCGAGAGGGGTCGGTGCGCGCCGACCCCTCTCACTCTCCAGGCTTCAGCGAAAGCCTGCATTCGCTCCATAGGACGCACACACATTTTCCCTTGCTTTTTAGGCGGGAAAAAGTGCGTCCTATGGTGCAAAAAATACGGTACTTTCTTTACAAGTGAAACTGGAGGCAAAACTTTTTATCTGTAATCTGGTAGCACCATTGAAGGAAATAAAAAGGCTTCCAGGGCCACAACTGGTGCAGAATTCTGCAGCCCTGCTGGCGTTGGATGTCGGGCTGTGCTGCTTCGGTACCCCTTTGTCTATCTCTGCTTCCTGTTGTTCAAAGGTATTTTTTAATTTCTACCTTTTAAAGCCTTAAAATGATCAGGGACCAGCACAATTGCCGGACTGCCTCCTATTTGAACTTTTACACAATCCAAGAACACCTGTCGGGTTTTTGCTTTGGGGTAGCATCCTGCATTATTTATTTATACCCTGTCTTTCTTCGAAGGAACTCCAAAGTGATATTAGTTTCCCCCTCTCTTCCCTGCCCCCAGCTCCATTTTATCCTCACAGCACCCCTGCGAGGTAGGTTAGGCTTACAGATAGTGACTGGCCCAAGATCAGAGGGTGAGCTTTGTGATTGAATGGAGATTTTCTCAGTAGCATCAATAGTGTTAAAGAGAGGACTCAATAGGCCTCAGTTCTACTTGATTTTAGGCAATGGGTAATTCTCTTAGGCTTTTAAAAGGTGAATGTTAAAAATCCCCCCTCCCCCTGGGCCAAGCTCTTTCTGGATGTTTATCCAAATTGATGCCTTTTTAGTTGGTGTTTTGTTTAACAATTGTCTTAATTGAGGGGTTTTTCTTTACGTCCCAAACTGTTGCATCAGGAGTGCATTTGTGGAAAAGTGTCTGAGGACACAGCTATTTAAAATCCTCCAGGCCTCTGCCTGGGAGAAAGCAGAGCAGACTCCTTTCACCCCCTTGGCTTGCAGGACCTCCTTCCAGCCAACCCTGGATGCTTTTGCGCTCTCCAGCAGCTGCTGCCACGCTGGCCCTGGCTTGGGGCGCCTCTGCTTTTCCAGCAGCTTGTCACAAATCCTCGCACACACCCCTTCAAGAAGGAGGGCTCTTGTCCTTCTCTGATACGGGGGAAGGAGTGGCATGAGGAGGCCATTGGTGGTTGAGGAATGGAACGGTTTCTGTAGAACTTCTCGGCCAATGCAGCCCCAGGGAGCCGGCAGAAAGCAAGCCAGAGAATGACGTTAATGTTCATTCTCAGCGAAAATGTTGTGGGGCTCCCCACCACCACCACATGGTTATTTTTGTCTCGGTGGTTTTATTGCATGGTTACCTATTCTGAGACACAGACACAATATGTGCCATGCCATGCACCAGGGAAAGGGGAGAGAGGAACAAGCCAGGCTCCACAATCCAGGGATTTAATTTTTTCAGGGGCGGGGGAGGAAAGTTGGTATATTTTATAATGCCCCCCCCATCTCCAGCAAAACAAACCTTCCTGTGTGTAATGAAATTAGCACAAGGGAGTACTTGGGACGCGGGTGGCGCTGTGGGTAAAAGCCTCAGCGCCTAGGGCTTGCCAATCGAAAGGTCGGCGGTTCGAATCCCCGCGGCGGGGTGCGCTCCCGCTACTCGGTCCCAGCGCCTGCCAACCTAGCAGTTCGAAAGCACCCCCGGGTGCAAGTAGATAAATAGGGACCGCTTACTAGCGGGAAGGTAAACGGCGTTTCCGTGTGCGGCTCTGGCTCGCCAGAGCAGCGATGTCACGTTGGCCACGTGATCCGGAAGTGTCTCCGGACAGCGCTGGCCCCCGGCCTCTTGAGTGAGATGGGCGCACAACCCCAGAGTCTGCCAAGACTGGCCCGTACGGGCAGGGGTACCTTTACCTTTACCTTTTAGTACTTGGCAAACTAGGTACACCAAACCTCCCTGAAGTTCCTTCGTGACATGCAAGGAACTTTTCAAGAAGGGAGTCTCAGTTGGTGCAGTTGACCATTATTACACTTCCTCCTGCACTCAAGTGTAGAACAGCTGCCATGTGGGGAGAGGAAGATGGTTGTGTACACCCCTATTTTGAACCCTCCCTTTCCATACATGTATTATTACCTGGTGTTTCACATGCCCCAGGCCCATATGATCCAGACGAGGGGTTAGATTACAGGGGTCAGCAAACTTTTTCAGCAGGGAGCCAGTCCACTGTCCCTCAGACTTTGTGGGGGCTGGACTATATTTTGAAGGGGGGAAAATGAACGAATTCCTATGCCCCACAAATAACCCAGAGTTGCATTTTAAATAAAAATGACACATTCTACTCATGTAAAAACACGCTGATTCCTGGACCATCCACGGGCTGGATTTAGAAGGCAATTGGGCCAGATCTGGCCCCCAGGTCTTAGTTTGCCTACCCATGGTTTTGAAATATGGACCAAATTCATATGCTGGGGACAGAGGCAAGAGAGGTTTTTAATGGAGTTTGTTCCGTACTATGAGATGCTTCTGACGTCTTGGCTCATAAACTCTGTGTGTGTGTGTGTGTGTGTGTGTGTGTGTGTGTGTGTGTGAGAGAGAGAGAGAGAGAGAGAGAGAGAGAGAGAGAGAGAGAGAGATACACTCTGTTGATTTCAAGAGCATCGTCAGCTTTAACAGCTGCCCTTGGTTCTTACTGCCATAAGCAGTTTCACCTTGAAAGATGAGCTGTTTCCTCATGCTGAATAAAGTGGGAAGGATATCCCTTCTTTAAAGGTTCTTCTTCATCCCGTTTGGTGGAGGAAAAAGGAGAAGAGAGAGCCAGGACGATGATGGGCCCCCTTCGTAATCCTGACTCCTGCGAGGCTCTGCTTGTTGTCGCTGCTCTCTGTTAATCAGGGGAAATATTTTAATCTTGAGATTCAAGCTGCAGTTGATTAACCAAAGCAGTTAATCAGTTCAAGCCTTGCCAGCCCCGTTTTCTTCCATTTCTCTCTCTTCGTTTTTCTAAGCTCGCTCCAGAAATGTGGGGAATCTTGGAAACCGTTTGACAGTCCTGGCAATGCAAATCACAGGACTTGGCTACTTTTGCTCTGGGCTACCTTCCCAGGAGGCAAATTGCTTCCAGCATCCCAAATAGCGATGCTGCATATAGAATGAGGCCTGTCAGCACACTCTGGCTGAAAAGCTGAGAAAGGCCACAGGTGACACGAGCCATGCCAAGATACCATTTCCAACTAATATTAATCTGGTCTGATTCAGTCCCGCTTTGGAAAGAAACTACCTCTAGGATTTGGTTGATTGCAGGGCAAGTTGACAGCAGTGGAGACTTAAACTACTAAGCCAGGCATAGGCAAACTCAGCCCTCCAGATGTTTTGGGACTACAGTTCCCATCATCCCTGACCACTGGTCCTGTTAGCTAGGGATCGTGGGAGTTGTAGGCCAAAAAAAATCTGGAACCGAGTTTGCCTACGCCTGCACTAAGCGATGGAAGGGAACAGGTTGCACAACTAAGTACCCCAGAGGATTTTTTAAAAAAAATAAATAGCCTTTTTCCATTTTAAAATTTAAGCTTTTCTACACCACTCTTAATCTATCCATGCAGGGAGGTTTACAGTAAAAAATTAATTCAAACAATAGTAACATAGGTAAAGGTAAAGGGACCTCTGACCATTAGGTCCAGTCGTGGCTGACTCTGGGGTTGCAGTGCTCATCTTGCTTTACTGGCCAAGGGAGCCGGTGTACAGGGAGTCATGTGGCCAGCATGACTAAGCCACTTCTGGCGAACCAGAGCAGCGCATGGAAACGCCATTTACCTTCCTGCCAGAGCGGTACCTATTTATCTACTTGCACTTTGAGGTGCTTTTGAACTGCTAGGTTGGCAGGAGCAGGGA